GCGGGGTTTCCAGCCCCGAGGTGCACGGGCGGAGGGCGCATCCCCGGGGCCCTGGACCCCTGAGGGGAGCATCGGAGCTGCGCAGCCCCCACCCCGCGAGCCCTGAAGAGGGACGTCCAGGCTGAACCCCCTGCCCAGCGCTGCCAAAGTGCCCTGAAGTTGTGGTCCCGCCCATTCCCCACGGGCAGTGCCCACCCAGTGGGCACCCGCAGGTGCTTCCTCCCAGGCTGGGCAGGGACCCCCGCCAGGACTTCCAGCCCATGGACAGGCCCCCTGGGAGTCCCCAGGCCCTGAGGGCAGCGCCTACAGCCAGGCCTTGAGCCCCGGCCCCGCCCCGGTTGCCTGGGCCCGGCCTCCTCACTCTCTCCCTGGGGAGGGCGCCTCATTCCTGCCCTTCACTTTCTGCGTTACCTTGAAGGTATTTATAGAAGGAGAGGACAGTTGCCCTCCCCACCCCACCCCCATCCTCCGTAGGGTCCTAGTTTCTGGACCAAGGGCCCCAGTGTTGACCCCATAGACTAGAGCAATCTGGGGAGGTGGGATGGAGGTCCCCAGGCTGGGTGTGCATGAAGGGTGATGTTGGGGAGAAGCAAAGATCTTCGTGCTAGGGTCACTTGAGGCTGCCTGTGGGGGTGAAGGGGTTAATTCGGGAAGACCCTCGGGTGTGAGGGGAGGAAGGTTGGAGTGTGGGAAAGTACAGGCATAATTGGTGTGGGAAACTGAGGCGGGGTGTGCGTGTGCGGGAAGTGCAGGGGCTGTGATGGGGGCCTGGAGACAGCGTGCAGAGCTGGTGTGTGGCCGTGGCTGAAATGGTGCTGGGGCCGAGGAGGCGTGGAGCACAATGGGGAGAGTGCAGCTGTGTGGTGGATGGAGGGAGGCCCCGCTGGCAGAATTAGTGTAGGGTGTGTGGCGGTGCCAATGTGGTCCATGGAGCCAGTGTGCAATCCGTGTTGAGAGTTTTTGATGGGAGGGCAAGGTGTTCTGAGGTTGGGGAAATCCCGGTTATCTGTGTATGCCTGGGCCCTCTGAGCCATTGATTCAACTTAACCTGGGCTGGGCGGGGTCCCTGCACAAAGTGCCTTATGATTGGCCACTAACCTAAAAATTGGTGGTTCAAGTCCACGCAGTGGCTCCATAGAAGGAAGGCTTGGCTTTCATAAAGAAAACCCTGCAGAGGTCAGTGCCGCTCTGTAAACACACGGGGTCGCCAGGAATTGGGACCCACTAGATGGCGATGTTTGGTTTGTTTGTTTTTTTCAGGGCAGGGATACTGGGAGGTCAGTGGAGTAGCAAGATTGAGTTATGGGACTTTGAGGGAGGGGAAACTGAGGAGCGAAAGACCTCTTTGCTTCCTCCCCTAAGCACTTCTTTCTCTGCCCTCAGGCCCACAATGCCCTACTGAGCCATCCTGGACATTGAGGGAGAGCAGAGCAGAGAGCATCCATGGATGGGGCCCTGGTGGGGGGCCTGGCTGCCCCAGACCGTCCCCGAGGTCCTGAGAGACTGCCTGGTCCAGCACCAAGAGAGGACATCGAAGATGAAGCCGAGGCCGCCGAGGGGGAGGGGGGCATCTTCCGATCCACCCATTACCTGCCTGTCACCAAGGAGGATCCCCAAGACATTCTGGATAGCAGAGGTGGCATTTCTGGTAAGAGGAGGGGGCCCTGTGGCCCCAAGAGAGCATTCCACTCCATATCCCAGGTCCAGAGGGCACCAGCCCAGTAGGGGCCAACTTGTTTTGCTGACTCAGCCTGGGTCCCCAGCCTTCTCCTTACGCTCTCTGGATAACTCCCATTTACAATGTAAAAATGGTAGGTCTCATTTTACCCCACAGACCAAGGCCTTCCAGTGGGCTAGAAGGAGCTGGCACTTGATTTCAAATATGCCTGGCTCCCTCTTCTGAGCATACTAATTGGATGCAGGTGCCTTGCTCAGTGTCCTGAGCTCCTTGCCCCCAAGTTACCCCCGCCCCCACCAGGAGCATCCGCCACACTCACTGGAGCATCTCCATCGTTCTGTGTCAGCTCTCTAGAGCTCTGCTACAGGCCCTCCCTCACCTTGGGGAGGAGCCCTGCTCCTAAGCCCGGGCACTGCTTTTGAGCAAAACAGCATGTGCCCTCTAGTGGTTGGGGAGAGACTGGAAGTTCAGGGATGCTGGCTGCCTCAGTTTACCCAGCCATGCTGACATTCCTCACCTCCAAGATTCACTTCTCATTCATTACATAGCAAGCCCTTACTGTGTGCCAGGTTCTTCTCAAAGTGCTGGGGGCGACAGCAGTGAACAAAAGAGACAAAGTCTGTCTGCCCTGGGAGGTGGGGTGAGGAAAGGGACAAGCAATTAAACACATTCAGGTAATGAGGGTTGCAGTGGAAAAACTACACAGTGGGGTGTGATCATGCTGAGGGCCAGGATGGGCCTTTCTGGGTGGTGGCCTTTGGGTGGAGGAGAACAAGAACAGCAGGTGCAAAGGCCCTGTGGTAGGGGCCAGCCTGATCTATCTGTGGACCAGGAAGAAATCTGGTGTGGCTGATACTTTGCAGGGGAAGGGGTCCGAAGCCACACCCTTCCCTCCAGTCTCCTTGGCCTGCCCCCCACCCCCACCCCTGGCACCTCACTTCCTAGGTAGCTCCTCCCATCTTGCCAAGGACTTCCTACATGCCAACAGTTGACCAGATCAGCTTACGCTTTTTCTTGCAAGAAGCTGTGTGGGCTAGCATCAGTTATTATTACGCTCATGGTAGAGATGGGGAAACTGAGGCCCGAGCAGTCCAGTTCCTGAGCATCACAGAGCCAGGCAGTAACTGAATCAAAATGTGCACCCGGACAGACAGCTTGACCCAAGGGCACGCGTCCTCTGCCGTGCTGGGACCTTTGACCTGCCTCCTCACAGCCTCGACTCCCCTCAGGCTTGCATGTGGACATAGCTTCTCCGGTGGGGGTTGGGCACTGACCAAGGACTTATACTCCAATGTCATGGAACCCACTACCTGGGGGTAGAAGTCACGTGTGTCACCAAGTGGACAACCCGGTCACTGGGCCCGTGATGGAAATGCAAGGCACCAATGTGGCCTGACTTAGCCAGTGTAGAAAGCTGTGGTTCTGGAGAAAGAGGAAGAGGAAGGGGGAAGCCCAGTGATCCAGGCAAATAAGGGTGTGGGGGGGGGGTTGTGCACAGGCTTGGTGGTGACCCCTGAGGGCAGAGGGTCAGCCCAGCACCCAAGTCTCAGCACTCTGGGGATCTGGGCCAGTGCGACCTCTAACACATTCAGTCCCATCACCTGAGACCCAGGTGAGACAGGACATTAGGGGTCACACGGTGCTCAGGGCAGAGGGGTTTGGGGTCCTGAGGTCCTCTCTCAGCCTGGTTTCACAGAATTGACCATTTCTTCTCCATCTGGTATGCGGCCAGGTGCGTCCTCACTTTACCCTGGGAAAGCAGTGGGCAGCCTGCCGGTGTGCCTGGTTTACAGCCTGAAGGCCTCAGTGTTTCCTTGAACGAATGGGGGCATGGCAAGGGGAGCAGGGTCAAGGCCAGATGTCTCTCCAGCTAGCTTCTTGGTCCCAGCATCATCCCTGGCAGCTCGTGACATTTATAAATAGGAGTAGCCTCTAAGCTTCCTACTGTAGCCCAAGGCTGGACCTCCTTCATCCCCACCAACCCCTCAGAGCAACCCCCTCCAAACAGCCCCTCCTGGACCTGCAGGCATCATCTCTTCCTCTCTGGTCCTCCCTGGTGGCTGTCGACCCTCCTCCAACAGCCGCCTCCACCCTTGTGTCTTTCTGGTTGGCTTCCGAGGTGCACCAAAGGGTGCTGAGGTAAGCCTGATGCTGGGCTAGAGTTGGGGACTAGGGCAGAATGGCACTTCATGTCTGCCCTCATGGGGGTCCCACGGGGAGAAAGCCAAATGGTTGGGGAGGGTAGGCAGGAGGGTCCAGCTTCTACCCTAGAGCGCTCCCACTCTCCCTGGCTCACTGGGCCAAGCACTTACCGTGACCACCTTACTGGCAGGTACATTAGTCCCCACTACTGCCAACTGTTCCCACTGTTGTCCTTCATCCCCCTGGAGTCGCCCCCAACCTGTGGAGATCCCAGGCGCAAAGGAACGCAACGCTGCTGACCTTGCACCATCCTCAGGAGCAATTACGGATCTGACGGCTGGGATCCATAGGATTTTCCCTGGCTAGTTTCGGAAGTCCAACGCCAGGCCTTTCTTCGTCCTCTGTCTTAGTCTGGAAGCTCTACTGAAACCTGTCCAGTGTCCTAGCAACAGGACAGAGGGGGCGGGGTGGCTGCAGGTGAGGTCCATTGACCATGAGCTGAACTGTGGTCTTTCTTCTGGGAGGTGCGAATCCGACCACTGACCCATCACTGCCCATTCCCACTGCGAAGAGGGGGAGACTGAGGCTTGGAGAACAAAAGACACACCCTTTGGGTCACTCCTGGGACTTGGATTTGGATTGGCCTGGCTCCAAAGTCTAGATGATTGGCCACACCACACAGCTGCTCACGGACCCCCCTGGAGAATGCGCTTTCGTTTTCAAATCCTTTTGGGGACCCCGAATGGCAGGAACCAGGGAACCACCCTCTGCGAGACCCCCCGCTGGGGTGTGGTCCAAGTACTTCGTGTGGCCCGTCGGATCCCCAGAAGTGGTGGAGACCTCTGGGTGAGCCCCCCATCCCCACAGCCCTGCGTGCATGGCCTGCTTCCTCCACAGCCACCACCACTGAAAATAGGAGCCTCTCTGGAGCTGCTCAGACAAAGAGGCCAACCCAGCCCCTGGCTCTCAGAATTCTTAGACGCCGACGAATCCCCAAATCTGGGACGCTCGGAATCTCGACAACATGAGGGGTCCCCGAATCCCTGAAGCAGGGCACCCAGGCCCTCCTCCCATGCCACTCAGGCTGTGCTGGCTCTGTCCCCCTCTCCTGAGAAGTCACCTCTCTGTCCTGCATAGCCTCGAGAGAGGCCTGGTCCTGGATCGCCCCCCCTGGCTGGTTGTGCAAACCCACTCAAACCAGTTGCCGTCAGGTCCGCCCCAACCCAGGCTGGCCCGGTCTGGTGTGTGCAGAGGAAAACTGCGCTCCAGGGGCAGGTGGCTAGCTCTTCCTCTCGAAGCCCCTCTGGGTGGGTTTGAACTGCCAACCTTTCTGTTAGTAATTGTGTGCTAACCATTGGGACCACCCTCCCGCCCATCCCTCACCTCACGCCATGCGCATGAACCTGTAAACCCAAGTAGATCCCTGCCCCCCATCCACCCCACCATTAGTCTAGTCAAAACTGGGAACCATTCTGCCCCTCAGAGACACTTGGCCATGTCCAGGGACATGTGTGATTGTCACAAACAGAAGGGACCATGGATGCTGCTCAACCCCCGACAGTGCCCCAGATTATTGTTAATGGCCATCGAGTTGACTCCCACTCCTAGTGAGTCCCCCACCCCCACCCAGGTGACTGAGTAGATTTGGGGTCCCTAGGGGTTCCAAGCCTGTGACTTTCAGAAATGGGCCAGCCAGCCCCGTCTTCTGAGACACCCCTGGGTGGGTTCAAATGGCCGGCCTTTTGGCCGAGTGCTTCCCTGATGGCATCACTCAGGGACTCCAGTGCTCAGTATCACTGCCGTCAAATCTATGCCGGCTCACAGCAACCCTGCACAACAGAGTAGAACCGTGAGTTCCCGAGACTGAAGGTCTTCACAGGAGTAGAAAGCCCTGTCTTTCTCCCGCAGAGCGGCCGGTGGTTTCTGACTGCTGACCTTGGCATTGGCGGCCCCACGTGTAAATCACTCCACCACCAGGGCTCCTGAGTGCTCAGGACAGCCCCCTTAAAGAATGGTCTAGCCTCAGATGCCCACGATGCTGAGGCATAGACACCTTGCTCTGGCCACTGCGAGGCCCTGTTGCCCCGACCATCACCTTCACCTCCAGGAAGAGCCCAGCAAGAGCCTCTGTTCTTTTCAGGTGCTCTGCATAAAGACCCCACCTTTTCTGCAAAAAAGAACCCCCTTGTAGTCCTGGCTTCGGACAGTCAGCTCTCAGTTTCCTGGGCAAGTTGGACAGTGAGGATTGGCAAAGGAACGCCTGGCCTCCCTGGTGGTCTTCCTGGGCCATCCTCAAGCTAAGCCCCCCCCCCCCAACATGTTCACCTTGGCACAGGTAGTGGCTTTGCTCTCGCTTGTGCTTGTCCACGTGGCAGGCAGGCTGCAAGCAGGACTCCTGGGGTCCCTCCAGGCATGGGTTCCACACATGGATAATGGAGAGTTGGCTCGATCTGTGAGGGTCCCAGGAGAAGACTGAATTCCAGGGTTCAGGAAGCAGTGAGGGGCCCTGGTAGCTCCACATTGATTCTCTAGCAAATATCCACTAGTCACGGCCCTGTAGTAGACAGGGAAGACCACGCCCCCTTCCACACTAGCTGGGGAGATGCGCCACCAGCCCTCCCCGGGAGTCAGCTGGGCAGTTTCCAGGGGTGTGAAGGGAGAAATGAGGCAAGTAAGAGAAAGAAAGTCATGGGGGACGCACTCAACTGGTGGCCAGAGGAGGTGGCTTTTAAAAGGGCAGTTGGTGCAAGAAGTAAGGCGGGGTGGGTGGGGGGGGGGGGGATGCTGTTCCAGGCAGAAGGACCTCACATAGGCTTGAGCCCTCCAGAGTCAACTGGGGGATTGGAATGTATTGTAGGTATAATGAGAGGCCAGGTGAGTTGTCACCAGGGCTTGCTGCTAGGGGGAGGGGTGCAGGTTGGAAGGCAGCCGGCCTCTGAGGACCCCCCAGGAAAGCAAAGGGGGCTCCTACAAGGAAACCCTTTGCCAAGTTCAGAGAAGCAGATGTCAGATGTGTCTTAGAGAGAGGGGCTGGGAGCCAGCGGAGCCCTCCCAAGGCACCCAGCAAGGCTCTGGGGCTGGGGTGTAAAGGGCCCCCAGCCAGGGCGCCCCCAGTCCCCTCAGGGTCTCCCCTCTCTGTTGCAGACGGGCAGCCCCATTCCGGCCTCAGCGAAGCCCTCCCCCGTGCCACCTCCACCACCCGTCGGATCAGCAGCTGGTGAGTGCCACGCTGGCCCTGACACAGGGGGGGGGCAGGGAGGCCAGGGGGACATACCCAGGCCCCAGAAAGCCCCCTCCCCGGGATCCAGAGGGATCAGGAGGTGAGGCAGGAGTAGGCAGCCTGGAGCATGTGCTGGGGGGTGGGGGGCACAGGGTGCGGGTGGAGCACAGAAGTCAACTCTCATTATCTCTGCCAGGAGTCGAGGGTGGAGGGCGCGAGGGGCAGGGAAAGCCATGCGTCACAGAAGGATCAGAGCCTGGAGGTCTGACCCTTGGAGTCCTGTCTCTGTAAAGAGACCCTTAGAAAAACACTAGCTCTCTCTGAGCCTCAGTTTCCTCGTCTGTAAAATGGACCTGATAACATACTTTGAGGATTTCAGGACAGCCCTGCTGAGGACAGCGGCTAGTCATGAACTTGCTCTGCGGGTCTGCCGGTTGTGCACACTAGTCGTTATCAGGGTTGGCGATGGCGATCCGTTATGGAAACGAACCCTGGGTGATGCACAGGGTTTGCACCCTACCACGAACCAGCCCCCTGGTGCCCCAGAGGAAAGGCCTGGGCAGTCGGATTCAGTAAAGCTTGCTGCTGGAAGTCATTGGTGCCCAGTCAGCTCCGATGCACGGCCCTACCGTGTGTGCAGAACAGAAGTGTGCCTTCGGACCGAGATCACCAGGGTTTTACTTCGGAGGCACCTCTGCGGGCAGTGGGGTGGGACAGGGACTTGAAGCGCCAACCTTTTGACCACTCGCCCAGTGTTTAACTATTTGCCCCCACCCGGGCTGTGAAAGCCCTACAACGCCGTTCTACCTTGGAGCGCAGTGGGGTCACCCTGCGTCGGAACCCACTCAAGGGCAGGGGGCTTCTCAGCCACAGGGCCTTTGCTTTGCTCTGCCTCAGCCCTGCAGAGAGGAAGCTTCCGGCTCTCCCCTGTCACAGATGGGCCTGGGTGAGGAGACCTTGTGGTGTCCGTGAACAAGGAAAGAAATCCCAGTTGCCGCTGACCCACCAGTCATGGTGACCCCATCTGTCTCCGAGTAGAATGGTGCTCCAGGAGCTTTCTAATGACGTCTCTTCTGGCAGGCGACTGCCAGGCCTTGCTTCCTAGGTGCCTCTGGGTGGACTCCAAGCTCTAGCCTTTGGGTGAGCAGATGAGCTCATCCGCTATTCGAATCACCCAGGGTCTCCCGGCCTGTAACAAGGGCGCGATCAGCCCCTGTCGTGGAGGCTGCTCAAGGGCAGTGAGGAGAAGAGCCCACGTTGGTCCTGAGCTCGCTGCGAGGCAAGGCATGCGTCTCAGCATCTCCTCGGCATAAAGCGGCGTCCCTTGGCCTGGGCCTCAAGGGGTGGAGGTCCACATTGGAGAGGGACTAAAATCCAGCGCGAGGGCATGGGTTTCTCCAGTGTGACTTTGAATAAGCACCTGCCCCACATGACGATGTCTTTGACCGTGAGGGTGAGCGTGCGCCTTCCATGCTGCATGAGGATGTGGAGGTTCCAGGCTCTCGGGAACCGTGTCCATTTTTAGGATTGGAAAACTGAGGCCCGTAGAGGTTGCCTTGCCTCACCCTGGAGGCCGTCAGCCAAGTGGGACCCTCAACCTCTCCTGGCTGTGTCCTCTGGGCAGGGGAGATGTGAGGAAGGGCTCGCCCCTCAACCCACTCTGCTGAAAAGTGGGACAGGGACCAAATTGGCTGTGTGATTTTGGGGAGTAGGGGGAAGACATGAAATTAACTCGGTCACTCCAGTTTGGCGAGGCCTTGGGATCATCCAGGGGGGAAATGAGAGTTGACTGTGCCACCAGACTTGGGGACGCTTCTTGGAGTTGAGCCTATCCCTAAGCAGACCCTCCTGCATGACGCAAGAGAGCTGGGTGCTATAGAGAAGCACCCCCTGAGAGCTGAGGCTGGCCTTTGACCCAAGGGCTCGGAAAAGGTCCACGCATACCCCCGCCACCACCTACCACCCTGACACTGTTAGTTGGCGACCCCATGTGTGTGCAGAGTCGAACTAACTTGTAGGATTTCTCATGCTGTGACCTTTCAGAAGCAGATCACCAGGCCTTTCTGCTGAGGCACATCTGAGTAGCTTCAAACCACCAGCCTTCCGGCTAGTAGTCAAGCGTTTAGCTATGTGCACCACCCAGAGCTCCCCCCAACCCTCCCTAGAAAACCCTGTGGAGCAGTTCTACTCTGTAGCACGTGAGGTACCCTGTTCCCTCAACGCTGCCTATGAGTACCTGGGGGGCCTCCCCCCGCCCAAGGGAGGGACACTAGGCCTGTGGCTAACCTGTCCCCGTTGGCACTTCCTTGCAGCTGCTGGGATGGAGGCAGCCTGGACTTCCGATCAGGCTCCCCCCTACCCCACCTCCTGGGCCACTTCCCTGGCCCCCACGACGGCCGGGGGCCCTGGGAGCACCCGCTGGTCCAGGAGGCCAGAGAGGGCATCCCCCCAGAGCGGAGGTTCGAGGACTCGGTCGTTGTGAGGACTGTGAAGCCCCACACCGAGCTCGAGGGCTCTAGAAGGCCCTGGCACTGCCACCAGGGGGGGCCCAAACTGGCGGCAAGGGGATCCTGTGGCCGGCCCAGCCTCCACTGGCTGGAGGAGGAGGAGGAGGAGCAGGGCTCTCGCCAGGATTCAGGGCTGCACCTCCACCCCTTCCAGAGGGTCCTCGTGCCAGAGGACGACCACCCCCGGGCGATGGCCATGGCAGTCACACAAGGGGGACTGGTGGAACCCGAGGCGCTGGCCCCACCATCAGAATGGAGCTTGCCAAGGGCAGCACTGGAGGTGGCCACACAGACCTGGACGGTGAACTCAGAGGCGTCCGTGGAGCGACTGCAGCCACTGCTGCCCCCGGTGCAGACGAGGCCCTACCTGTGCGAGTTGCTGGAGGAGGTGGCCGAGGGGCCGGCCAGCCCAGCTGAGGATGAGGACGAGGAGCTGGCTGTGTTCCCCTGCATCGAGTGCAGCATCTACTTCCGGCAGAAAGAGCACCTCCTGGAGCACATGAGCCAGCACCGCCGCACCCCGGGCCAGGAGCCCCCAGCCGAGCTGGCCCCGCTGGCCTGCAGCGAGTGCGGCTGGCCCTTCTCAGACCTCGGCAGCTTGGAGCAGCACCGCCGGCTACACCAGGCCTCCCGGGAGAAGATCATTGAGGAGATCCAGAAGCTGAAACAGGTGCCGGAGGACGAGGGCCGGCAGGCCCGGCTGCAGTGCCCCAAATGTGTCTTCGGCACCAGCTCCTCCCAGGCTTTCACGCAGCACACCAAGCTGCATGTGCGTCAGGAGCCCCGAGGCCCGGCAGCTCCAGAGCCCTTGGGCAGCGGCGAGGGCAGCAGTGGGGCTGGCAGCCCAGGCCCAGAGGCCCCCAGCCTCGCCTTCCAGCCCTACGCATCCTCCCCGGGCCTCAGCGCCAGCAGCTTCTGTGGCTTCTCGGCACCCAGCGAAAGCCTGCTCAGGGAGCACGCTGGGATGGTGCACGCCCGTCCCCACTGGGAGGACAGAGAGGCTTTTGAGGAGGACCCCGCCGGCCAGCCAGGCACGAGCCAGGACACTTACGCCCACTTCCCCGAGGCCACTGAGGACTACTTTGGCAAAGCTGAGCCACTCTTGGCCTCTCCGTGGCAGGCGAGCCCTGCTGGGTACGACCCCAGCCTGGCCTTTGGGCCCGCCTGCCAGCAGCTGGGCATGCAGGATTTCCCACGGCCAAAGTCACCCCTGTATGGTGCCTTCCAGAGGCCATTCGCAAAGCCAGCCTATTCCTCCCCATTAGTGTCCGCCCCTTACTCCGGGCAGCTGAGTAGAAACAAGAGCTCTGCCCACCTGCTCCCCCCGCAGGAGCTGGAGGGCGCTGTGGGCTGTGAGCTCCCAGGCCAGCTGGGGGACCAGAGACACTCCTGGAGCGGTGAGGAAGATGATGGGGCGCTGGCCTCCGAAATGGACTTCATCTCCGAAAACGGAGTCTTTCCAGCGCCCACTGCCACCCTCATCCCACAGCCAGCCCTGGAGCTCAAGCGCACCTTCCAAGTGGCCCTGGGGGCAGCGGAGGGCTCGGCGGCCCAGCAATGGCAGCTCTGTCAGATGGTCCCCGTGGTGCTGATGGCAAAGCTGGGGCCACGGGTCATAGAGGCGTCCAGGGCACCCACCAGGCTGCAGGTCGAGGAGCCCGGGCTGGGGAGCGCCCATCCCCTGGACTTCCTGCTGCTGAATGTACCGCTGGGCGACCCGCTGGGGCTGGACACGCTCCTAGACGGGGACCCGGCAGCCCTGAAGCATGAGGAACAACGGAAGTGCCCCTACTGCCCCGACCGCTTCCACAACGGCATCGGGCTGGCCAACCACGTCCGGGGCCACTTGAACCGCGTGGGCGTCAGCTATAACGTGCGGCACTTCATATCGGCCGAAGAGGTCAAGGCCATTGAGCGCAGGTTCTCCTTCCAGAAGAAGAAGAAAAAAGGTAGGGAGGCATTCGTGCAGCACCCACCTCCCTCCAAGGCCCCGGAGCACACCCACCAACCCTTAGCACCAAAACAGAAAAGCGAACCACCCCAAACTCCCCTCAAACCTGTTGGCTGCTCCGTAGATTCTGACTCACAGTAGCCCCTTGTGTGGCACAGTAGGACTGTGCTCCGTAACGTTTCCAAGGACCACTTTCTCACCAGGGGGTCGCCAGGCCTTTCTCCCGAGGCACCTCTGGGTAGAGTCCAACCTCCAACTCTTAGTAGCCGGGTACTTACTGTTTGCACCCCCCAGGGACTCTGCACCCAGTCGCTGCCCAGTCACCTCTGACTCCTGGTGACCCCACACCTGTAACAGTAGAACTGTGCTCCAGAGGGTCTCCAGGGACCAACTTTGCGGAAGTAGACTGCCAGGTCTTTCTTCCGAGGCACCTGGGGGGATGGGACTCGAAACTGCCAACCTTTCGGTTAGCAGCTGATTGCATTAACCGTTTGCGCCACCCAGGGACTCCAAGCAGGGTGAAGTCGGGACCTCCCTCCAGGAAGACCTGGGGGCCACGGCAAAGGCCCCCCTGTCGGTGGATGTATGGGGACGCCCCAGTGCCCTGGTCACATCAGCAGCTGGAGAAGGGATTCTGGGCAGAGGAGTCAGCCTCAGGCAGGGAATTTTATTTATTCTTTGTCACCTCTGTTCTGGGCACTTGGGGACATGGCAACGAGCAGAGAAAAGTAGGCCCCCACCCTGGTGGTTATAGCCTGGAGTCATGGGGCTCTGGGGCGGTGGGGGGCTTCAGAACCCTTCTTATGCCCAGGTTCCCAGGGACCAAGGTTCTAGTTCCAGAGATGTTGATGCTGGCAGACATGGCGCCCCTTTGAGGCTGGGCTGACTCAGTGTTTGAGTGAAGAAGTGAGTGTGCGATGCTGAGCCTGGCGGGGAAGCAGAGGGCAGTGCCAGGAAACCAGGAAGCTACAACAGAACATCAGTGATGAGGGCGGTGACGGGGGTGCACAGAGGTTTGGGGCAGCCCAGAGTAGGCCCCAGTTCAGCCTGGGCAGTGGGAGGGGGGTGGGCAAAAGGGGTAGAAGAAGGTTCCAGAACACCCATTTGGTGCATCCAACCACTGTTTAATAATGTACAGCACGGTGGTTCTTGGCACTACCAGTTACCTTCAAGGTATCTCCAACTTCTGGAGGCGGCCGTGTGGACCAGAGGAGGCCTGCGCCATAGGGTCTTCAAGACGGTGGTCTATCGGAACCAAATAACCAGGCCTTTCTTCCAAGGTGCCTGTGGTTAGCATCTAGTGTGCATGGAAGGCCTGTACTCTGGCTGTCAGAGGGCACCCATCTCAGACTTACCCATAGGGTACAAATTTACATTCGGAGAGTGTTCTAAGGGAGCAGCCCCTGGGCTGGGAGAGGAGGGAGGGAAGGGCCTGGGAGGGCAAGCAGGAGGGCTGTCTGGAGGAGGAATATAAATGGCAGCGAGGGAAGAAGGCAGTCCGGGGGGGCTGTGTGATCTGCAGGGGTGGGCGGCCTTGCGAATCCCACTGGAACTGCAGAGCCCCACCCCTCCCCCTCCATCCAGGCTACTGTGTCCTCTCTCCCTCCACAGTGGCGAACTTCGACCCGGGCACCTTCAGCCTGATGCGCTGTGAATTCTGCGGCGCTGGCTTCGACACGAGGGCCGGCCTCTCCAGCCACGCCCGGGCCCACTTACGCGACTTTGGCATCACCAACTGGGAGGTCACCGTCTCACCCATCAACATCCTGCAAGAGCTGTTGGCCACCTCGGCCACAGAGCAGCCTCCTAGCCCCCTGGGCCGAGAGCCTGGGGGGCCACCCGGCACCTTCCTCCCCTCCCGCCGGCCCCGCTTACCTCTCACCATGACCTTCCCACCCACCTGGGCTGAGGACCCTGGACCAGTCTACGGAGAAGGTAAGGGGAGGAAACCCACAGGGCAAAATTTGGGGGTCAGAGGGGGAGGGTTCTGTAGTAGATTGGGGGGAGGGGGGCGAGGAGCACCACTCCACATTCCTGGAGGTGCTGTGAGCTGCTTTACAAAGCAAGTCACACCGTCCTCACGAGCACCCTGCTTCATTATTTTTATTTGGTTTCTGTTTTATTCAGGGCTGGGCTGCCACCCACCCACCCACCGCCCCATCCCTCCCTCCCACTTCCTGATAGTGATCCCAGCAGATGCTTCCTGAGAGCTGGCTCTGAGCACCCAACCAACACAAACTGACTTACATCCTTACGGGACCCCCTCGACAACGGGGTCATATCGTGAGCTCCATCTTGCAAATAAGGAAACTGAGGCCCAGCGGGCTTAACTGACTTGCCTAAAGTTGCACAAGGGCTGGTCGTTTGAACACAGTCAGGGTTTGAACCCTTGCTCTTGAGGCCACCTTGTACCTCAGGTGGGGAAAAAAAAAAAACCAACAAAAGTATCCAGTCCATCTGACTTATGGCCACCTGCATGCGTCCGGCTAGAACCGTGCCTTGTGGGTTCCTCAGGGTGGGGGCAGCTTGCCTGGCTGGATTCTGGTTGGGGCGGGTCTCCTGGGTGCCACTGCACTTTTTGGTGATCAGCTTGAACGCTTAACCGTCTGTACCACCCAGGGACTCCCATGTGTAGAGCAGGGCTGTCCATGAGAATGCTCCGAGATAATGATGCTCTCTGTGCTGCCCTGGATGGTCACTGACAACCACATAGGATAGCAGAGAACGGACTTGCACACTGGGCCAATACCAGGCTCATGGCTCCCCTGCTGGCCAGCGCAGATCCAGCTCCCAGATTTCTTTTTTTTTTTTTTGAGGACTCCTAAATTAGCGTGTAGCACGAATAACCTCTTCTGCTAGGCAAATGGCGTTCTATAGTGAAGTGTTGACCTGTGTCCTTTCACCGATGCCTCAGCATAATTGTAGGGAGGCAAGGATTGTGTTCGCCATTGTACGGATAAGGAAATAGGGATTTCCTTATACATTACATGGCCACGTAGCAGCTAGACTTCCAAAAAGCACCATGTTGGGTGGTTTCTTGAGTGGCTGAGACATAGGAAAATCCCATTGTACTGTTGGGTGGAGGTGTCTTGGACTGGCACAACTGAGGAAGGGGACAAGGTGAAGGGGGCCCAGTCTAGTAAAGCCTAACTTTGTGGGTGCCTTTACTGAGCTCCAAGGCCCAGAACTCGGCTGTAGGGCGGCTGTGGGCTTTATGGCTTGTCGCCGTGGAGTGGGCTCCAACTCGTGGCAACCCAGGTGTGCAGAGTAGTGCAACTTTGGAGCGCCAGGGTCGGCAAACCACGGCTCTCGAGCCACACGCGGATTTTGGGGGGTACATACACGCGATTCTGAAGCAAAATCAAAACAAAAAAATTTTTAAGGATGTTATTCAGAGGATGGTGATTTCGTTCGTTTGTGAAAATGTATGTATGACTCTCAACTAATTTTTGAATGGTTGTGAGGGGCAGGGAGGGCTCTTCCATCTCAAGTTTGCCAACCCCCTGCTCTGGAGGGTTGGCAAGGCCTTGACTGGTCAGACACAGAGCACAGGGCCGGGCTTCTGAGGTGCCTTTGCATGGGGTGGACCAGCCAACTTTTCAGCTTGTAGTCTGGCACTTAACCATTTATTTATTTATTTTTTGTAACAAATTAATTTTTTTTTCCATTTTGTTTTTGTTTTTTTGTTTTTATTTTATTTATTTATTTATTTATTATTTATTAAGTTTTTTTTTTCTTTTTTAACATTTTATTAGGGGCTCATACAACTGTTATCCCAATCCATACACACATCAATTGTGTAAAGCGCATTTG